AGGTTCATGATATAGACGGAGATACCCAGGGATTCTTTGTGGGCACTTGCTATCTGGCGCATGTCATTTTATTGGGTTTATACGCATATCGTGCATCCTTGGACGGTACAACGATAGGGTAATTTGATCAGCAGTGGTGTTTATGGAGCGATCGGAAGCCAGCCCCAGTTCAGGTTGGGTCCCTCGTGCCTTCCTAGCCGTGGTGAAAATGTCATATTGTGGCACCCGAGTCCCGCTTCTGGAAAAGGATGGTTGAAACTGCAAGAGCGACCGATGCCTGGTTCGTTGCCGAAAGACCGCAGAGAATCATTGTTTTGTCATCACATCTGCTTATCTCACCCTCAGCTTTTCCAACCTTCTGCGACTGTCAGACGCTGATGCTCGGCCGATCAATCAACACAGACACCGTTCATTCAAGAAATTCTGTCGAGCTCGAGCTGCAAGGCTCTATCCCACCCACTTATCCCGATTTTCTTCCCGCCGCAGAGATGTGCAATCGACTCGCTTGTCAAGATGGGAAGCTGCATGCTTGCGGCGAGGTTCCCACGATGTGTCGTGAACCACAACGGCAGGTCGCGCTCAGGAGGGACTTCTTGGCCATCGTCGGCCATCGTGGGAGGTTGCACCATGTCAGACAGCAAGGAATGGATGCCATGTGTTTCTTGAAAGCTGCCTGATTGCTGATGATGTAGAACAGAAGTAACACCATTATGGACTGGCCTTACCGTCACGGTACCAATTATCGCCTTATCAGGGAAAGGTAGCATCACGAGGAAGACCCAGAGTGAACGGCCTCTACAGTGATTCAATCTTCGAAGCCCACAACATCATTGGGAGAGTAGGGTAACGAGGTGCACCAAGTTATATATAGAAGCTAACCAACATAGCTCTGAACCAGTCAGAACGCAAAAAAGAGAAAGGGTCTAACAAGATGAAAACGATTTCTTCGCGACACTGCCGCCAACCTCTCAACCAGTTGTGTTGCCACGTCTAATCTTGCCAGATCAACAAGGGAAGTACATGGGAAAACCAGTTGCCAACTCCCGCCATAGTTATTGGTGACTGAGTAAGTTGTTTCGAAACTCGTGCTTGATGAAGTAACCAAACAACTACTGTTCCCGGTTTACGCTCTCTGTCACTCCTATTGCGCCGGGATGCAGTGCTCGCAGAAGGCTGGGCGATGTCGACAGACGGCGCACTCATCCTCAGAGTCGAGATTGATAATACTATCGACGTCGTCGTTGGCCTTGCACAAACAGCAGTAGACGATATTGCATTGTTCGATGCGAACAGGAGGCATGTAGTAGTCGTCCCTGCGAGGTTTCAGTAACGGCGTTTGAGATTGCACCATGATATCTCACATTTTGACAAGGAAATCCAGAGTTGAAAATTGATTGGTTTCTGTGGAGAAGCTGGGGCGAGAGGTATGTGAAGAGACTTATCACGGTCTTTATTGCTGGCTATGATGGGAGATGTCTGTTACCGAGAGTAGAGCTGACCATTTTCCTGGTCATCAGAGAGTCCTTTTATAAACTACCACAATCACCTTGATCAGGCACCTTCATCTGTCACTCCTTCCGTGGTAGACGCAATATCGACACCTCCGGTGGGGGTCAAATCTGTTACATTTCCTCTCCCGGGCGGGAGGTCAGCAGCGACGATAACATCACTCTATGGGCGGTGTGACCCGCTGGACCACAGAGGCTTAGATACTGGTGCCCCTCTGGTACGATACGGCGCTGGCATTCGCCTCAACAAACGAGCCCTAAGTGCTAGAAGGTTTAGTTTGAACGTGCAAGGTCAGGGGCTTGGACAACACAAAGCTGGTTTCGACCTGCTTCACGGTTACGACCAAGCTGGATGGCGTCTCCGACAGACCGGATCCCCTGGGGCACCCGGGCAACGGCCCACATGTTGAGGATTAACAACGAGAAGCATGCTTGCCACACATCCGATATTTACCGTTACCGAACTTTGGGAGTGTCAGCACAGACTGTTGCCAGGATCTTCGATATTGCTGAGGGCAAAGTCAGAAGCTCGTTGGTTCTGCTTCAACATCATGCAGGGACTCGATACCGTGGACAGATGACCTTCTGTGTTCCACAAAAGCAGGTACAAATTACCGAACACTTGCCGGGTTTCCAGGGTCTCGGAATCATAAAAGAGGCGAGCGGCACTGCTGGTGCAAAGTCTTCAAGAATGACATACGCCGCCTGGCAGCCTCGCCTACTGTTGCTTCTAGAACTGCGGCCCCCTTTGCCAACCAGGCCACGACGAAAGAGAAGGGCACGTTGCTTCTAGAGAACAACACAAGAGAGCGTAGTCCACCGGGGCGAAGTCACCAGGCATGTGATAGTTGATGTCAACGCTCCGCCCCTTCATGGGATAGACGAGGGCAGACGTCCAGGCTAAAGCTTCCACCATCACCACTAGTCAACAAGATATATGCACATCCTTCCACGATCATGACGGAGCGGTCACGGGAGGAGCGACTAGAATGCCCTGCACCTTCTGTGCCCGCAGCTACCTTCCTCTCCCATTCTCGGATATCGCCGGACTGGGCAAGGGGCGGGCAAGAGATGTCGGAAGGAGGGATATCTCTATGGACAACCGGATTCAGCATCCGAATCAGATCGCCGATCGCGGAGAGGGCCACTGACTGTTCACTGAGAAGAAGGAGGACGATGCGCAGCCTTGCGAGGTATGGATCCCGGCTTGAAACACATCTCAGGCCACCCGCTCCAACCTTCCTCCGGCCATCACCGGGCATTTCTCGAATGATGTCATGCCCAAAGTCCACTCACGGAAAGAGCGGTGGACAGTGGACGAGCAGAAGAGCCTCATCCAGAGGGTTGGTAGGAACATGTGACCTGCCAAATCGAGGTAGAGGCAGGACACGGCGGCTAAACCGCACTGTGGGTGGTGGCCGATGAAAACAGGCCCGACCTAATCTTGTTGCTTGGGGTTCGGATAGGGGTTGTTGGATGTCTCTCGCAGTGATAGGCAGCATCAGTCTACGTATGCAACATAAGCAAGGCCAGAAGCAAGAGAGGGTGTGTGGCTCAAGGGAGAGAAGGCTGCCCAAGGTCCAGGAGTCAAAAGTGAGAGAGGACGACGATGGTTGTAATGCCATCGACGGTCTCTATCACCTTCCCGTCGTGGGTTGTTTGTCGCTAATCGCTCGCTTCGCCCTCAAGATGGAAACGTTCACGGCAGTCTTTCAACGGCGTGGCTGCGGCTTGTGGTACTCGGGTCCTGTGGTGGAAGGTGAACTTGTAGGGTACCTGAGGATAAGGCTCGACGGTGCTGACGGCGCGTGTGGAACAGCAAAAGTTTAAAAGTGGTGCCTGTAGCAGGATGGGCCAACGCCAACCAAAGGGCTAGAAAGCGCGGAAGATCAGGGACGGAGTGGGATATGGAAAAGAAAGGGGCTTCGTTGACTACAAGTTGAGTGTCCTCCCAGCCCTTGTCTTCTCCTCTTGCTGCATCTTCTCAGATATCAGAACACCATCGACAGCCATCTTGCAAGTCATTGAACCCGACCCGCTTCTCCCCTTCTGTTGACACGGAGCGGTTGTGGCTCCCTGGCACCCAACCCACACCACCCTCCACACCAACTCTGAAGCCAACTGACCTCCCTTTCACCCAATATTTCGACCCAAGAGTAAAGAGTGAGCGGAACACAAATACGCATTCTCCGATAGGCAAGTCCGTCTCTATAGTTCTCATCATTCCCTTGTCATGTTTTCTTCTGCTCTCGCCTCCAAGGTCATGGAATTCTTCCAACCCACCTTGGTAGTCGCCGGCAAGCCATGGCATGCGGGCTTCCCGAATTGATCACACACCATGGCACGCTTCGGGATAATTATCTCATACTCCACGCGCGGGGTTTCCGGGACGAGACACAGAGCTTCCACACTTTTTTCCTCGTTCATGCTGCTGTGGGTGTAGCGGAAGACGAGACCGGCGAGACAGAGGTAGCTGTCATGGCTCCAAGCCGAGACAACTCGGAACGGAAGATGCACTAAACCACCCGGGAGGTGACATGCTTCATATACACTACTACCTACCTAGCTTCACCATCAAACTCGCCAGAACTCACTCAAAACAGGCTACGATGATGAGGATTCTAACAGGAGAAGAACACAGAGGACGTTGCAAATGCCAAGTTCATCAGCATCAGCATCAGCATCGAGTCCATCGTGCAGAACCAAGATATGCATGCAACTGCCCACTATCTTACCGATCCGCAGCGGTCTGCTCCGGGGTTGGGAGTGGCTGGCTGAAGTGTTAAAGAATAGATGTACTGGATACAATACATGACTATATGTAGGGGGGGAGGATTGATGATCAATCTGGATGTTGAGAGAGGGGAAGGGAGATGAAATATTGAAAACTGCGTGGGGGTTGAAGAGTGAGTGTTGAGGAGGGGACGGCAGTAAATGATGAGAGCCTCAGATGTAGTAAGATCTCTGAAACTAGATGATGGAATCTCGCGCTTTTTCCCCAATCAGGCTCATGATGTTTTGAAAGCCACACAAAGACCGTCGTCGTTAAAAAGATATCCAAATCCCATCTCGCTGGATCCTCCGATTACTCGCAGCAAAGCTCCCGTCAATTGTCTTCCCAGCAAATGCGGGGTCTCCACAAAAGCTAGGGTTGGTCCAAGCGTCCCCGTCCCAGAGATCGGCGCTTCAAGAGGGCTCCACTCTTTTCCCCAAGAGCAAAGCACATCCCATTTGCTTGGCGGCCTATTGTCCGTCCCACAGTCCACTTTCATCAATCATCCCAGTGGAAAAGCGGGAGTCTCCGATTTCACACTGACGCGTGTGTGTCTCTCTCTCTCTCTCTCTCTCTCTCTCTCTCTCTCTCTCTCTCTCTTCCTTCAATTACTTCCAGTCAATCGATGTCTGTCGATTTGGACAGCAGAAGATGAGCCCCCGACGACCTGCAACATCGCCAATCTCGAATTCTAGCTCGTTGCGAACTTGGACCTGGTCATGTCTTCGTCACCCTTCCGCAACCGGCACCGGGACTCCTCCCCCGCCGGTGCGCCAGGGAGGAAAAGGTCACAGTTCACCTACCGGCACTTCAACCAGATGGCTTCTTACAATACTTCCTGCCCGTTGAGGGTGGTTGCCCATTTGGATCTGGACTGCTTCTACGCACAGGTGGAGATGGTACGGCTCGGCATCCCCGAGGACAAGCCTTTGGCCGTTCAACAATGGTATCTTTCCCCCTTTTTCTAACCACCCTCCCCCAATACCAAGCTCGACCTGTCAACTAACAGGGGAGGGAAAGGCAAGGTTTAATAGCAGTCAACTACCCCGCCCGCGCCTTTAAGATCGGCCGGCATTGTACGGTGACTGAAGCGAGGAGGTTGTGTCCGGAGCTTATAGCGCAGCATGTTGCTACTTGGCGGGAGGGGGATGACAAGTGGGCTTATCGGGAGGACGCGGCGGAGCATATTGCTACGGATAAGGTGTCGCTGGATCCGTATCGGTTGGAGAGCAGGAGGATCATGAGGGTCATCAAGGAGCATTTGCCCGGGGGAGGGTTGCAAAAGGTTGAGAAGGCGAGTATTGATGAGGTGTTTTTGGATTTGACGGCGTGAGTTGTGCTTTTTGGGAGTGAGCAAAGGTGGGATGATGCTGACAGCTGGTGGTAGGCATGTCCATCAGGTTATGCTTGAAAGGTATGGGGAGGAGCTGGGAGGTCCGCCGCCGTATGGGGATGTGAGTGAGGAGTTGCCGATGCCCGTGGTTACGGCGCTGGATTGGAAGGCGGATGCTCTGGTCGACCTGGGGGAGGGGGACAGACAGGAGGGGGAATTCGATGATCCGGACTGGGACGACGTGGCACTGCTTGTGGCGAGCGAGATCGTGAGGAATGTGAGGGGGGTGATTAGGGAGAAGTTGGGGTATTCTTGCTCCGCGGGCGTGTCGAGGAACAAGCTCCTAAGCAAGTTGGGGTCGGCGCACAAGAAACCGGATCAGCAGACGGTGATTCGAAACAGGGCGGTTGGGCACTTCTTGAGTGGGTTCAAGTTTACAAAGATCAGGAACTTGGGCGGGAAGTTGGGGGAGCAGGTTGCTGACGCGTTCAAGACGGAGGCTGTGTCGGATTTGTTGACGGTTCCGATTGAGCAGCTGAAGCAGAAGCTGGGAGATGAGAACGGGGTGTGGATTTACGAGACGCTGAGGGGGATCGATACGAGTGAGGTCAACTCGGGCACTCAGATCAAGTCAATGCTGTCGGCCAAGTCATTTCGTCCCGACATTACGACTGTGGAACAGGCTACGAAGTGGTTGCGTATCTTTGCGGCGGATATTTTTGCTCGCCTGGTTGAGGAAGGGGTGCTGGAGCACAAGAGGAGGCCAAAGACTATCAATTTACACCACCGTCACGGGAACCAGACCCGGTCTCGATCGGGACCCATACCGGCGCGGCTTCTGAATGAGGAAAGCCTGTTCGAGTTGGCCAAGAACCTGTTTCACCAAATCACGCTGGAGGGTAATGCCTGGCCGTGTTCCAACCTGAGCCTGAGCGTTGCCGGCTTCGAGGAGGGGGTCTCTGGCAATATGGGCATCGACTCGTTTCTCGTCAAAGGTGACGAGGCACGAGCGCTGAAGTCATCGGAATCGGCCCGCACATCCTCGTCCAAGGAAGCACTCGACACGAGCACACGACAGCAACCTGCAGCAAAGCGACGACGTATCGATGGTGCCGGCGGTGGTATTCAGCGTTTCTTGACAGCGAAACGGGAGCCGTCCCAGGACACCCGGACGACGGGCCCCGAGGACGACCTCGTGAGGAGGAATAGCGGTGAAGCAAAGTTGGGCACCTCGAAGACATATGTCGCATCAGGCATGGGATGGCCGGGAGAGCCTTTACCAGAGGAGGCCCAAGCCGATTCTAGACGGTCGCCAATCACACCCCACGCTTGTTCTCGATGCGACGCCAACCTGGGGGGTCCGGAAGAGCTCCAGAGTCACCTGGATTGGCACTTTGCCAAAGACCTCCAGGAGGAGGAAGAAGAACGTGTCAGTCAGGCATTCGCCAACCGACAAGCTTCGACTGCAGTGAACAACGCGCGCGCCGGCAGTCAGAAAGGGGCGGCGGCAGCATCATCCGCATCAGCGTCAGGGTCAAAGAAGTCCACGGGGAGGTCGAAGAAGAAGCCGGAGCGCGGTCAAAGCAAGCTAAATTTTGGATGATCATGATGATTTGAGCAGCTTTATGCATCGCCGAGGCGGCCGTGCATTCGATAACTACCTGCAAGACGAAGACTTACGTGGGCAAAGCCGACAACCAACAGCATATGGAAGGCATACGACAGTCAGCCTATTGGGGAAGCTGGTTCGGGAGAACGAGAAAATGGATGGGGGGCAATGCACTTATGTTTCCCGGTGGGTGGATGGCCTTCCTGTTCGTCATACATCCTGGGCGGGCATGTCAGTCATCGGAGAGCCCCTGCAACCGACGTCGTCGGAGTGCGGCGATTCTGGAGCCAATCGTTGAATCCCGTCCGAACCCAACACTCGGCATGCAAGCGCCTCTTGCAAGGAGCGGGAAGAGGGCCGTCGCGGATGGATGGAAGAAGAGGGCACACCCGTGAACCCCATCCTCACAAACCATATCAGAGAGCAGTTGCTTCTGCCGGCCATCCCACACGAAATCCTTATCGTCACGTCGCTGGAAAATGCACGTTCATCCTCCGAGAAGTCGACCCGTTTGGGAACTCTACAGCACATCCCGGACGACGAGCATGGGCCCCTGAGGGGATCTGTGGGATCTCTTCCAGCTGCTGTCGTCTCTGATGCCACCGTGCAGTTTGAAGCCACAAACAAGCTCACCAATGTCTCTCGCAGCGGATCACAGTCTATTTCGAGATTTTTCACAATCCGTCATACAGCGTCAGAGCCTTTGCTGCGGTCGCTGTACACAGGCTTCTTGTTTGTTTGAGGTTCTGGGAATTCCCCAAAACCCACGAGAGTCAGCATGAGCGAAGCAATGTTGCTTCGTCGACCACCGCTTCATCATTTGGGGAAGAGCGAGAGCCAGTGATTGGCTGGTCCGACCATCAGTCCCCATATTTTCTCATGCGGGCAACGGTTGGGCTTTGGGCTCATGTATTGATACCCGACCTGACCAAACCAGAAACCTCGCCCCGTCGTCACTGTCGCTGCTGATTTTGAACACGGCAGCTGCGTACCTACCTATGCAGGATTTTACGTACGCCCTCGCTCGCCCTGACTCCACCAGACCGAAGCAACAATGATGCCCGTCGTTGTCAACCGGTCCGTATGTTTGACAGGTGAGGAGCCGTCCGGGTAGGTAAGAGATAGTTGTACATTGGCATCAAAGACCACGGTTGTCAACCACGCACCGAGGTATCCATCATCATGCACCTGTATACCCTCATCCCCATCAGATAACGTCGGGATGCATGACAGTGGGGGGAGGGGAGATGGGGATAGATGCTCCTCTGTGAGCAGATGAGACATTTCCATGCAGCAAGCCTTCTCCTCTCTCGACGATAGATGCTGCACCCGCCCTTTCCGCCTAGCGCACGGCCCGAGACAACGAAGATGGGCAGACGTCAACTTACCATGAAGACACTTGAGTTCAGACTGCTGTATGATCTGAGGAATTTATCCAGTTCGCCACTTGTATCTGATCAGGCACACTTCGGGCTCCCGACTAACAAGCCTGCACATTTTTCTTGTGCGCGTGAAGTGTCAGAGATGGGCAGAGAGAAACGGGGACAGCAACCGAAACAGCTTCTTTTCTTCGGTTCTCTTTCCAGTACTGTCGTGACAACTGCAGGCTGTCACCCAAGCGATTGGCATGGGAGCCCGCACCTCTCGCTCATCTGGCGTTTTTTGACAGTGGGTGAGGCCCAATCAGAGGCTTTGCAACAACAGCCTGAACCGTTTGGGCAACACCGATTGACGCCAGCTACATGCCCAAAAGAAGCCTCGTCTCCGTAGCACATAGCTCCATGTTACACGGGTCTAGCCTCTTTCTGTGTTTTTTACACAAGAGATGAAGAGAGAACACCCGAGAGGGCTGGGTGTAATGCCGGGTCAGAAATGCCCCCGCTTCTGCGGCGGCCGCGGGAAGAGACGCCGTCAACAACGCAGACGTCGACTCCATACAAACAGGGCTCGGTGCGTGGGAGACAACGTCTCTCTAACCGAGTCCTCTTTCAGACACCGATTCTGAGGGAGAAACCCCTCTCCGTTACCGCAACCCGCCGCACTCTTGCTGGGTGCTGAGGATGGGAAATGCAATGGCACAACTGCCCTGGTCTCCTGCCATGCTGCAGGCTGCAAATCTGCGAACGCAGCAACCCACTAGGTGCTGGTGACGGGAGCCAACCACACACTCCCACGCCTCCGCGAGACCACCAGAGACCACACATCGTCACTCCCAAAAACACGCACTCTGCGATTGGCCTCGACCGGCTCACCTGACAGGCTGTTATTTGCTGCGCTGTGCTGGGCCTCGGGGGGAGGGGGTCTTTGCTGGGACAGGGCGACGATAAGGTAACATGGTACCTTTTCATTTTTTCGATGTATTCTGCGTGATGTGTTATGTATGTTGGGCAGAACGGATGCTGATGGGGTGACAAGTCAAACACGATGCCGTCACGTCAGTCTCCAGCACCGTTTTATCCCGACAGTACCGGTTTTTTCAGCTGCAGCGGCAAAGCAATCCGACCTCAGGCGCCCGTCATTCGAACGGCGACGGGATTCCCCAATAGACGGTGCAAACCCTTCCTTCCTGACGGAGAGAGGGCCTTGCGATTGGATGGCATTGAACAGCGCTGCAGGTGTTCTTGGCCTCTCTTTTTGGCTGCGTGCGCCTGCTTTGCCACCGCACCAGCAACCAGCACGCCTGGATTCCCCGGCTTCCCCTGCTTGTCCCCCTCTCGTGCCTCTCGGTCCCCCTGACACCGTCTGGATCTCGCTGGCTGGATGACTCCATTCTCGCTGCGTGTCCGTTCAGACCGGTGTCTTTCCAGCCAACTGGGTGCTGCCGTTTGAGCCTTGTCTGGCAGCCAGCTAACTGCCCAACGGAGGCAAGGAGACGGGGGCGCATTTGGGGACTTGCTGGAGAAAATCCACTGCCGTTACAGGCCGCCAGTCACCATCACCGCTGCGAGACCCACTCTGACAACCCAACCCCAAGCGCCGGGTGCCTTCCATCCACTGCCACCCTTCCTGTCCACTGTCCATTTCTTCCACGACCGCCCGCCTTTCTCCCACCCTCTGGCCCTCTCTCGTTCTCTCATTCTCCTATTCTGGTTTTTTTTTTCTGCTGCCTTGCCGCGACGCCCGGAATCCCCATTTCCGCAGTTCCGCTCCAACACCACTCCGACACACACTGGTTCCTCGATCATTCAATCATCGTCAGCTTGAATTAGGTTCTCTTGGGGCGGGGGAATCAACTCTGCTTCGCAGCAACCGTTAGACGCGCGCACGCACCAAACTTTCCACAATGGCGGGGAGACCAAACAACAGAGGACCCGGCGGCGGCCAGCCACCAGTCCCGCCAGCAGCCCAGCGTCAAAACGAATACTTTGTGCCCCGTGATGGCATCGATCGCGAGGTTATCACATCAGACATTTGCAGATACCTGGGAAACGATGCGTTGGTGCGCCCTGGCACCTACGAGGTATGCCCTGCTTCTTCCCCGCAATGCCTCCTCGGGAAGGCTGGGATGTGCAGTTTTGCTCACCAAGTCTTGTTTTGTTTGTGTTTTAGTCCCCAGATGGACGTGTCACCCAAGGTTATTTCATCACGGCATACCGAAATTTGACGTCGGTGAGTGGCCCTCGTTCGATGCTCGACGACGGCAGTCGTGGATGATGAGCACGGGGCTAAATTTCTCTCTTCTTGGCAGGCCATGATTCAAGATCTCAAGGCCGACTCCGCTCGGTGGGAGCAGGAACGGCGCGCAGCGTCCAGGTCTTCGGGCGGCGGCGCTGGAGGTACAACACACTCCAGCCATTCGAACGGCGTTTATGTGAGGAGTTCTAACTCGCCCATAGGCGCTCGCGAGCAGACCCGCGGGCAATCTGACTACAGCGCGTGGAAGAACCGCCAACGGGAACAGGAGTACGAAGCCTCGTACGGCGCCACTGCCATGGATATTGACTACCAGCCGGCTCCTCCGCCGCCCAAGAACCCGGGCTACGGTGGCCAGCCGTACCCCGGACCTCCCCCTCCTGCCGGATACCCCCAGGGTGCTTACCCAACACAGGTTCATCCCGCTGCCGCTCCCCAGTATCAAACTCAGCCCTACGGAGGATATCCGCCCAATGTTCCGCCAACTCAGTATTCCCCAGGACCTCAGGGAGGTGACAGATACGCCGGGATGGTTCCTCCTCCGCCGATCCAAGGACAATTCGCCCAGGATGCTGCCTTCATCCACGGATCCAACTACCAGACTGCCCCTGGATATGCCAATGCACCGAGGATGCCGGCTATGCCATTGGCCCCTTCATCCGCCCCCCCTTCGAGGGCTTTCAGCACGCCAACATCAGGTCCTCCGTTTGGCTCGGAAGCAGACCCATATGGCTACCCGCCTCCTGCTGGGATTCCGGCCAGCCAGGCCTTCCCAGCCGACCCTCTTTATGGCCGCGGTGCGTATAGTACAACAACAATCACAAACCCACCCGAGGCTTCGTCTGATGATTTAGGTTCCCCTGCAGGTACAGCGCAACGGCAAGGCTACCCGGCCGCCCCGGACCAGCCGCCATATGAGGATCACAACAGTCCGGTGCTTCCCAACACCACCGTTCCTCCAACCAGCTCGACACCCACGAGTGCCGGACCGTCCAGTGGCAGACGCGACCGCGATTCAGAACCGAGAGACCGAGAGCGTGATCATCGAGAGCACAGAGCTCGCCGTTCCGAGACCGAACGCGATGATAGGCACGGAGACCGGAACAGGCATCACCGTCGCTAATCACCGGTCGAACCGCAGGTTTCCCTCCCCACGCAAATGCCCGCGTTAGTCGCCACACAAAACTGTCCGCCCCGAAACGTCCTCGGCATGTCGAGTCCGGAGCGTCTGATTGAACCGCTATTATGTTAATGCCTGCTAATGTCTTGGGCTGGGACTAGCTCACTGTTTGTTTTCTTACTTTCTTTACGCTTCTGGACTCGGCTGCCTTTGCAACCTGCCTTTTTGACACAAGGCCCCCACGGATAGACCCTGGATCAGAGGTTTCCACGAACCTCCGGAGCTGCAAGTTGCATCTCTGTCAACCGTTTTTTGGATCATGATATGACGACATGCCCTCGATGCGGGTCTTTCGACTACTTGTTCCACTGGCCACTATTCTGGATCTTTTCGACATGTCAAAAGCATCTTCGCCCCAACTGGATCATCTTCTGCCAGCCGGCAACCTTTGGACCCTTGGCAACTTCTGGACAACAAACAGCGGCGGGTGGCAGCCCCGCCGTGTGAATTTTTTTCTTTTTATCATTTTTTTTCCTTTTTTTTCCTTTTTCGACAGAGAGGGGCAAGAGACGAGACGATTTTGATACCATATAGGAGAGACAAATTTGCTGCCTAGGGAAAAAGAACGATGATGAGCTTGAGGACATCTTTACAACGGTTGTGGATACTTCCTCCCTCGCTGTCCGGATCGGCTGTCGGGACTGCTTCTTCCTTTGTTGCATTTTGCCTCTGGCTGTGAACCCTTTTTTGCACGCCCAGGAGTGAGTCGCCTTGCTGACATCCCGGTTTCTCAACCGCGTATCCGCCTCTGACATCAACAACCAGAGACAACGGCTACGGCCGGACAGCGAGGTGAGTGAACGCTTGAAAGAGTGTATATATCTGAATTCCCTCGGAGCACAATGAGCTACACCATTTTCCACCCACCGTCTTCGCCTCGGGCGAGCGAACTGAGCTTTTGAGTTTGAGTCAACTAACACAGCGCAGATGGTTGATGATTCTGGACACCGCTGAGGAACTATGGAGCCTTCACATCTTTCTGGACCCTGCTGGATTTCACTTTCTCTCTTGGCGACTCTCTTCTCCCGTTGGATCTTTCACACAAGCCATGGATTGAGGACCTCTTCGACCCCACATATGGATACCTGACAACACAACCATTTTTCTCCCTCGGACGCTCTTTTGACCATGAGGTGTTCTGACACTGGATTGCCAGACCCATCCGGGTTCTGAGAGCACGGAGCTCGCACAACATCATCGTTCTGGATCTGAAGCTGAGGCTACCCTCACTGTCAAAGACATCAATGAACAACATCGTGGTAAGGTTGAGCCATTGGACTTCTTTCTCATCCGGATCCTTCTCTTTTCTACACCGGTCATATCAGCAATCGTCCGCCTTGGAATATCAACGTTACCAACACACCAGTGGGACTTCGGATGGAAAGTCATGGATTGACATCAGTCTTGCCTTGGACAGCACGTTTTGGACCACTCAACTTGGACCTGAACTTGACCAACACCGATAGGGCTCGACACTCCTTCAGGTTACAGACGAATGTTTCCCTGCTCGTCGGATCTGTTTGACTTTCCCCTCTGCTGCATCATTTTGTCAACGATTTTCGACCTATTTCATCACATTTGTCGTTGGATTCAACTTTCTCAGCTGGATTTGCCATGGACCCGAGGACTATCATTGGACATGCCATGGACTACCATTTGGACCATTCTTTACTTGACCGGACTTGCACGGCTTGATGTTCTGTGTCATGTTACTGTCAGTTATTCCACCCCTTGTCTTCCATCCCCCCCTCGGCTTCGTTCATCCTTGAGGTTGTTGAGAGCATGTCTAACCGTCTTGTAGTGTGTGGATACCTTTCTCATAGTCATCATCTTTAAGCCGCTTGTTTATCTTTCACTGCTCAAGAGTTATTGACGCCTTTATCTGTCGGTCATAGCATGTTTAGCTTTGGGCATCGCATGTATTTGGTATAGCATGGTGTCTCTGTTTTGCGCTTGGTGGTCAGTCTTGGAGAACTGGGCTGTTGAAGAAAGCACAAAAGAATAGGTTACAAGATTGGGTGGGTGGTTGTCAGATTTGTTTTGTTTTGCTTATGCTGTATGTCATGAGTTCTGGGCGGGTGTCTGATTTTGTCTTGTTTCTTTCTTCCACGTTAGTTTGCGCATACCCAGCTTGTTGCTTGGCATCTTTTTTTGGATGTTCATGATGCTTTTGGCTCTTTGGGGATGGAGTTGATGAATACAGTTGGATTTGAGGTACTTTTGGTTTATGTTATTTTGATCAACGTTGCGATGTTTGTCAATGTCAGTTCGATCAGTGGCGTGATCATTGCCCATTCATTGTATTATACACTCATCACACAAAGGTTGATCCCGAAATGTCATGGCGTGGTGCTTAGTATCTGTTCGGAATGGTTGTTGATACCTGAGCTCAAAGAGTAAATAAGGGGCCATTCATAAACCGGCTTCTTGCTGCTGCATGGCTCATGATGCATCCCATAGATTTGCACGCGATGATCAGACTTCAGCGTTGTGTTTGGATGTCGTCAAGTGGGTCTTGAGACATGTCTTTGCGAGAAGCTTGCTTCTCTTACAGGAGAGGGTTATGTGAAGATGGGCAAGATGTCTGTAGATGAGTGAGGTGTCTACGGTGCTGGGTGTGATAAGAGGGTTGGGTTTGGTGATTACCAGTGGAATTTTTCACGAGACGTTTTCATCGCTTGAGACATGATTATCCGTGGGGGGGGGGCGAGATTCTGATGAGGGTAAAGAGGGTGTTTTGGAAGTCTCAAGGTTGGGGGTTTATTTCTTTATGTGACATATATATTGCTGCTGTCAGTCATCAAGGCCTCGAGGGTGGTGTGGTGGTTGAACAACAATGTGGTGATGATCATGGCCCGCTTGGTGCGGAAGAGTGAGGTGAGGCTGGGATCTGTCTGTCATATGCATGCATGTACCTGATTTCCACTTTGAAAGAAGAGTTTGGACGACCCTTTGCTGTATGGAGTTTGTTCCTGCGCCCCCCTTTTTACATGTCGGATGATGCACATTCTTGTTGGGGTCACCGGGAAAGTACACTATCAAAGGTACCGGAGCCTTTTGGTTCTCTTTGCTCCACCTTGGGCGTGTGTGTGCTTTTCTCCACCGTGACCGTTGGCATTTCTGGATCTTTGGGGGGGGGGGGGGGCGGTTCGTCCATGGGAAGCTATTCTTGTCGGTTACTTGGGATGGATAGGGAGGTTTTGCGCAAGGAAGGAAAAGGTTTGAGGCTTGCGTTGGGCAGATAGCTAGAGTATGGCAGCTTCTTCTGCTGAACCCGAATCCGATCTGTCAGTCCAAATCACGATATTGACAGCCGAGAGCCCTCAGTCTGGTGATCACGCCAGGGACGCTACTGTACCAGCCATGACGGCTAAGTACATATTAGGTGGTGTGGTTTGGCGGGTTGGGCGTCAATTCAGATGGAGACACTTTCAAGGCCTCATAACGGGGTTCAGTGACGCAAAGTAGGAAATCCGGGCAAAAGACAAGTGAATAAGTTGGTGGGGGTGCAAAGACTCCCAAGGGCTGGTTCTTCAGCGACAGCCCCTCGTGCTCTTGGTCAATGTCTAACGGGAGTTGGAACTTCCAGCGAGCCTCAGTGGATGGGGGTTTTTTTGTTTGCGAGGCTATCTTGAAACATGGATTGTTTCTGTGCTTTTGAGCAGACCAACTGTGGGCAGTTTGATTTACCCCCGTATTCCATTCCGCATAAGCCAGCTTCATAAATCTGTTGATGTGAATTTGAATATTTTCTTTTCTATATACTGTGTAGTTGTGCCCTTGTCAAAAAGCCCGAACCCTGGGTGAACTCCACTTCAGGAGAAGCAAATGGCGGGGAATAGAGGGGAAAAGAAGGAAGTGGGTCATGTGCCTTGGCTTGGATGGAGGGGCAAGGAGGGGTTGAACCATGATGCCCCTGATTGGCGGGCACCGGTTTATCGATTCGAGGGGCTTCACCGCCTTTGCGGACATGGGGTCCCCTCCGTTGTGTTGCCCTTTCTTGGCAATCCTCTGGCAGGCGTTTGACATTGAGGTTGAGGAGAGACTGCCAGGACCAAGTGGAATGGAAAGTGGAATGGAAAGTGGAATGCCGGGATAGACCACAGGAGGGATGTCTGATGTGAGGAGCAGTGAAGAGCAGTAATGAAGGGGCAATAGAGATGGGCATATATGTATTTGGATGACAAAATTCCAAAATAGCGGGGTTGGATATCTTCTTATCAGAGTGCCAAGAGGTACTGCCCGGCTCATCGGGGGGAGAATAGCCCCCCCCTCTGTCTCTGTCCTTCTTAGTAGGCCTGTGTCGGTTTAGATGAACTGTGCAGCACCGCAACTGGACGACCACCAGTTTCTGTGACGTGACAGTGCCTATATTCAAAACAGGGTCGTCGAAGGCAACGCTCAAGTGAGATAGAGGGGCGGAGCCTTGAATTAGATTCAGTGTGAGCCCACGGAGAAGTATTGCTCTGGTCTAGTGGCAGTGGCGTCTGATAGAGGGTTGGTATTTGTTGGTGCAGCGCACCAAATCAAAATAGAATAGCTCACCCGTCCTTTGCAAATCCCAATTCGAGGAAACTTAACCGCTCTGAAACGGGAACGGGAGCTCTGCTCACCAACAGGATCCTTGAGACAGACAGACAGCAGTAAAAGGACTTGTTGTTTCAGCATTTCTTTTCCTTTCCGTCTTCAGCAATCTCCCGAGTCGAGGGTCCTCTTTGTTCGTTCATCTCAGGTACCCGACAGAGCAGGCTGAGAGGCACGGACCAAGGTTGCAGGTGAACGACGGGCTGTTCTGACAGTGACAAGCGCCTGTGGCTACACAGCGTGAACCCTCTTAACTTCTAGCCCCGCCATTTCGGGGTCTTTGCCGACCTCTGTTGCAACCCAGATTTTGGCCCAAATTTTTTTAAGCTTGGCCCTTGACTTCGACATCCATCTCGGCTTTCCACCCGTGTCATTTTTCTGCCTTTTCTGCCCGCCACACCCATAGCTGTTGTCCCTGGACGGGCTGTTGATGCGATAGGACATCCCTCACGCTGCCCAACATGGACGCCACCGCAATCAGATCGTTCATCGTCGCTACTCTCGATGCCGACGCTGATGTGCGAAGGCGGGCTGAGCTCCAACTGAAGCAGGTATGTTGTTATCACCACTGGGACCACCACCACCGCCTCCGCCGCCATCCACCCTCGACCCCCGGGTGTCGACCTGAGTGCCCTGAATGCCCTTCTTCCCCAACCCCTACCCGTCGCACCAGATGACAACAACAACAACAACAACAACAACAATGCCGCCTCCACTGCCCCGTTCTTGCGCCCACACGTGTGGCTGTTTGCTGACCGTTCCCTTGTTGGTGTGCAGGCCGAAGATCAGCCCAACTTTACAGACATCCTCCTCGACCTCGTGTCTTCCGAGCAGAACGTCACCCTGCAGCTCCCAAGTACGACATGCCCCCCCCCCCACCGAACCCTTTTCCGTTGCTTATCTCGAGCTATATATTCATTCATCCATGAACACAATTGCTTACACCTTCTCAGCTGCTATTTATCTTAAAAACCGGGTGAACCGCGCATGGGAGCGTTCAGACCACATCACGACCAACTCAGTAATACCCGAGGATGCGAAGGTGCGCTTCCGCGAGAGGCTACTGCCTGTGCTCGCCGGCTCTCAGGCCAAGGTGAGGCAGCAGCTTGTGCCAGTCCTCCAGCGAATCCTCCACTTCGATTTTCCTCAGTCATGGCCAAACTTTATGGACTACACGATTCAACTACTGAACACAAATACTCCCGCCTCCGTAATGGCTGGTCTGCAATGCCTGCTTGCCATCTGCCGGACCTACAGATTCAAGTCACCAGAGGGTGAGACGAGGGCCCCCTTTGACAAGATTGTCGAGGCCAGCTTCCCAAGACTTTTGGTCGTCTGCCAAGAGCTGGTGAAGCAGGAGAGCGACGAGGCTGGCGAAATGCTGCATATCGCCCTCAAATGTTACAAGCATGCCACCTGGGTATGTTTCCAGGATGTAAACCTCAAGAGTGCTGAGCAGATACTGACCTGACATCCGCAGCTTGAGCTTTCGGATTTCCTCCGCCAGAACGAGGTTAACCTTGCGTGGTGCACCATCTTCCTGGAGACTGTTTCCAAGCCGATCCCCGCGACTGCTATGCAGCACGAAGACCCCCTCGAACGCGAGCGTCACCACTGGTGGAAGGCGAAGAAGTGGGCGTATTTCAATCTGAACCGCTTGTATATCAGGTACGAATCGGTGCTGGGTCAAGTATGCTGCTTTGCTTGTAGCTGACGGTGTCTCGTAGACACGGTAACCCCAATTCTCTCATGGACAATGCCAGCGACGACCAGAAGAGATTTGCGAAGGACTTCACAGCCCAGGTTGCGCCGACGATTTTCAACCACTACCTGCAAGAGATTGAGAAATGGGTTGCCAAAACCACCTGGCTCAGCAGACCCTGCCTTTCGTACACCATTGTGTTCCTGGACGAGTGCATTCGACCCAAGGAGATGTGGGCGCATCTCAAAACTCACCTTACCACCTTGGTCACTCACTTTATCTTTCCTGTTCTTTGCCTCTCCGAGGACGATCTTGAGAAATTTGAAGAAGAGCCCGAGGAATACTTGCACCGCAAGCTCAACTTCTACGAGGAGGTTTCGGCCCCTGATGTTTCTGCTACCAATTTCTTGGTCACCTTGACAAAGGCGCGGAGAAAGCAGACGTTCGAAATCCTCAAGTTTATCAATGAGGTGGTCACCCAATACGAGGCGTCCGAACCGGACAAGAAGAATCATATCGCCAAGGAGGGTGCTCTCCGCATGATTGGTACTTTGGCTCCGGTCATTCTGGGCAAGAAGTCACCCATCGCCGACCAGGTGGAATATTTCCTCGTCCGCTTCGTCTTCCCTGATTTCAGCAACGAACAAGGGTACCTGCGTGCGCGTGCCTGCGACACTGTGGAGAAGTTTGAGCAGCTGAACTTCAAGGAGCAAAACAATCTCCTGACTGTGTATCGTCACATTCTGGACTGCATGGCGGATCCCAAGTTGCCAGTCCGTGTGACTGCAGCTCTGGCTCTGCAGCCCCTGATCAGACATGACATTATCAGAACCAGCATGCAGTCAAGCATCCCAACAATCATGCAACAGCTCCTCAAGCTGGCTAATGAGGCTGATATCGACGCCCTGGCGAATGTCATGGAAGATTTCGTGGAGGTTTTCGCTGCCGAGCTGACTCCTTTCGCTGTGGCGCTTAGTGAGCAGCTGCGTGACACATACTTGCGCATCGTGCGCGAGTTGTTGGAAAACAATCAGCAACGGGATGATCTCGACAACGAATATGGGGACTACCTAGACGACAAGAGCATCACCGCTTTGGGAGTGCTGCAGACCATCGGCACACTCATCCTTACTCTGGAAAGCTCGCCGGATGTCTTGCTTCACATCGAGGGGGTGCTCATGCCTGTGATTGAGATCACCCTGCGGAACAAGCTTTACGGTATGTTTGATGGGCGGTTGGTGTGTGGAGCGGGGCTAACATGTGACAGATCTGTACAACGAAGTGTTCGAGATCATCGATAGCTGCACGTTCGCGGCTAAGCGGATCTCCCCCATCATGTGGCAGGCATTTGAGCTTGTCCATGCCACCTTTAAGTCTGGTGCTGAGCTGTACCTCGAGGACATGCTCCCTGCCCTGGACAACTTTGTGCAGTTCGGTGCCCCTCAGCTTATCCACAAGCCAGAATACGTCCAGGCTTTGTTCTCGATGGTGTCGGACATGTTCATGGAGAACAGGGTTGGAGGTGTTGACCGCATTTGCGCCTGCAAGCTCGCCGAAGCCATGATGCTCAGCCTCCGTGGCCATATCGACGATTGCGTTCACGGCTTCATCACTATCGCTATGAACGTTTTGAGCGGACAGGAAGTCACGATCAAGTCGTACAAGATCCACCTCATGGAGATGGTCATTAACGCCATCTACTACAACCCCCTCCTGGCTCTCCACATCTTGGAGACACAGGGCTGGACCAACAAGTTCTTCAGCCTGTGGTTCGGCAGTATGGAATCGTTCACCCGCGTGCATGACAAGAGGCTCTGCATCATGGCTATTGTTCAACTCATTACTATTCCCAATGAACAAATCCCGGCAAGCGTCGCGGTAGGCTGGCCTAGGCTTCTCAAGGTAAGTTACCCTTGATGGGCCTGGTGATTGAATTGTGGATGATTTGGATATTAACGGACCTCTAGGGAATCACGATCCTCTTTAGCACCCTTCCGGCAGCTATGAAAAGTAAGTAGAACAGGCGATGAATGTGGCTTGCAGTTACTGACGATGAGGCAGATCGCGAAGAGGCTCTCAGGGATGACTTCCAACTCGACAGCTCAGCGTACTATGACGAGGATGAGGACTGGGACGATGATGGTGCTCAGTGGGAGGAAGGCGACGCAGCTGAGGGTGAACACAGTGAAAGCAAGGACGAGAGTACTGCGTACCTTGACTTCCTGAATGAGGAGGTGAGGCAATGCCTTCGCAAAGTTTTGATCCAGATGCACCGTACTAACGAGATCATTCCAGGCACAAAAGTTGCAGTCCGCCGAGGGTGAGGTCTCCGATGATGACCTGGGCGAAGACAGCGTACTTCTGGAGAATCCTCTGGACAAGATCGACCCATACATGTCGTTCCATGTCTCTCTCCACAGTAAGTTTCGACAATCCGTTAAAGATTGCGACGGCAACCGCTAATTTCTAATTCTCCACAGGGCTTCAACAAGAACAGCCCCAATTCTACGCCTCGCTTACTTCACAACTCTCGCCCGATGAGCAAGCAGTGATCACCCATGTGTGCGCACAAGCCGAAGCGCAGGCTGCCCAACACCAACAGGCTGCCCTCGCGGCCCAGGGTGCTGGTATGAATGGTACAAGCTAGGAACCACCCTCTGTACTGCCGCCACTTCGGGACCGCATTTTCCGACGAGTTGTTTGCTGAGTGGTCAAGGATTATCGGGACACACTTTCCAGCTCCATCACTGCCAGGGGCTGCAGAAGGTGACGAAAGCTATAGGCAGCTTCACCGCCCGATAAATGATCGTTGCGATCTTGTGTCGCGGCGGTATGGATGCTCGGGCCGGCGATCTAGCGTATATGGGCTCGCAGTTCAACAGGGTGAAACACGCTGTGCTGCGTTGCGTATAGCAGAGGCATTTATTATAAGGCGCCTTGGGGATAGACGTTTTATAGGGGTGAGGCTTCGGTTGGCTTCTGTTGATAGGAGCATTGTTGTTATTTTTATCGTCACTTACCCCAGCACCCCTTCTCTCTTCACCCATTTCCCCATTCTTATTCCCCTTCCCCCCCCCCCAGCCCCCAAAAAAAAAAAAAAAAAAATTCCCTTCCAACAAATATATTAAAGAATAAAAAGTAAAGGGCTAAGGGGTTAAAATTGTTTTTTAGCAAAAATTTACAGGGTCTAAAAAATTTGGTGTTAGGGTGTGAATAAAAGTA